CCAACCCCCCCCCCACTAGTGCAGGATCCCCTAGAGCAGATTAAACAGGAACATGTCCAGGCAGGTTTTGAGTGTCTCCAGGGATGGAGACTCCACAGTCTTCCTGAGAGGCCTGTTCCAGTGTTATATTACCCTCAGAGTAAATAAGTATTTTCTCATATTCAGGTTAAATCTCCTGTGTACCAGTTTGTGACCATTACCCCTTGTTCTGTCTCTGGACACCACTGAAAAGAGCCTGACCCCACCCTCCTGACACCTGCCCTTTAGATATTTATAAACACTGATCAGATCCCCTAGCTTTCCTCATATGGCAGATGCTCCAGTCCCTTAATCATCTTAGTGACCCTCTGGCGTATTAGTCACTCCTCCCAATTTTGTGTCATATGCAAACTTGCCAATGATACACTGTGCATCATCATCCAGATCATTAAGGCTAGTTGCTTGCCTCCAACTAGACTTTGTAACAGTGATCACACAGATAAGCAATGAAGTCAGGCCAACATTTTCTTGATTATTGTTGTTAAATGTGAATATTTTTAATAACATTATGAGGTGAAAACAACTGCCTTGTAGTTAAGTGTAGTCCTTACCTGGTAAATTGGGGGGATACTTCCATTCATGACCTTTGTAAACGTCACTTGAACCTTTAGTTGTCCTTTGGTGGTTTGCTTGCTTTGGTGGCAAAATGCAAATGAAGTTGTGCTGCACAGGTAACTACAAACCTCCTCCAATACTTCATAAAGAGTGTAACAAGATACAGCATGTAGAAATGTGTTACAACATGCAACAAGTTTCCACAAGGGCTTTTTTGTTTCCTTTTAAACTACTGCTTGAACTTCTTGCAGATTTCTTGTGTGCCTTTATACTAGCCACCTTGGGGGTTTCACTGACTCTCCTCTGTGTCCTCCAGAGGGTAAGGTTGCATGTTAGGGTGATCACAAAAAGGGATGTGTTGGGGAAGATTGGAAAATATCCTTCATAAAGTGTTTGTCTTTTTATTTTTCTTCCCCTTTCTATCATTTAACAACTAAATACGCTTGTCTTTCCAGTATCATCTTGATAATGAACAATCTATAGCATTGCTGTTTTGCAGGGTATTATCCTCACTTTGTAAGGTATTTTTCTCCCAAACTTCATTGCATGAAACATATGCATGTGCATGAGCAAACAAATCTGATAAAAAAAATTATCCTGAGAGCTCCACCACCCAAAAAGCATGTAAGCTGCCTCTGTCTGTAATCATTTAATCTGCTTTGTGAGGAATTCAAATTACAGAAGACTTTGTCTACCTACAGGTACATCTTCATCTCAGTGGCACCCCAGTGAAGTGCTGCTGTTACAATAGTTGTGCAGGTAGCTTTTTTGCAAGGTCAGTAAAAACTGTAGAATGAGATAGTGAACATCATTCCTTCCTATTGTTAATAAGGATTAAAGACATATTACTTCAATGAAGAAGGTTATTTAGCTTTCAATACATATGAGTTCAAGGAATACTTTTTGCTACATGTATTTTTATACTGATGAAACTGAAAGTAGTTTTGCACAGAAAGAAAGTTAATGTTATTTTAATTCAGATATAAATTGTCATTACTTGTAGGCTATATTGCTAAAGAAATAACTGCAATGCTTTGATAATTTTTTACAAAGCTATTAAATACCAGCTTGCAGATCATCTGGAACAGAGGATGAAGAACACTGGTTCCTTTCACTTCTTAATGATTTTGAAGTACCCTAAAAATGCAGTGGTAATCCTAAATTTGAACCTGATCTTTCAAACAGAAACTTCCTGCAGAGCTTGCCTTTGGTATGCCTTTTGGAAGTACCTGCATTCAGAGTGATCTTTTACTGCCAGAAAATAAGAAGAATTGAAGACTGCACCAAAACCTTTTTTTTTCCTCCTTTTAAAGCACCAGAATAATAAATAGGTTTTTTATGGAATTCTCCAGTATAAGGAGCTTCTATAAACTACTGTAAAGCTCATTAACAACTTGCTCAGAGGGAATCTTATACATGCTGTTTGACAGCAAGCTTCTTGTTGGTTAAAGCAGATTCTACAAATGCAGTACCTGGTAGCAAAATAATTTAACTTTGTTAATTGTGTCCTTAAAATCAGGATGCCCACAGTATGGTAGGGGTGGAAAGACCGTCTTCCTGCTTGGAAGACTGTCTTCCGGCTATTTTCCAGGCTTTGATTACTGCTGGCATATGTGGTACATCATAGAAGTTGCCTGTTTTGCTTACACCCACATGTGCTTCTGTAAAGCACTAATAGGACAGTGTAGCAACTGTTTTAGTTTAGAGGTTTGTGCATACGTATAGTCACCATTTCTTGTTAGTCTAGTGGACAGCTTTTCTGGTGGGCATAGCATCTGCTGTAGCAGGTGATGGTTAAGTAGCACCAGGAGGCCATGATGAGAGATGTCCCTGTGCAGCCACAACTGGTAACAGTCATTCCCAGCTGCAGAGAAGCTAAGTGAGTGACTGCAAGTTTTCAGAGAAGGGCTTAACAGCCATTCCAGCAGAATTCAGTGAGTTGATGCATCAAGATCTCAGGCACTTCTGCCTTCCATTGTGATTTCCTCCTGTAATGCAGCCGATGTGCAGCTCCCTGCCTCTCCTCCTCCCCGCAGACATGGTCTTCCCCTTTTAAATCTCAGAACTGCTACTGTTTTGTAGCAGCTGAGAGCCATGGCCTGGTGTTCATACGAGGTGTGCCCAGTTCCCATTGTGTCAGCAGTCAGTGACTGCTGCAAGTGATGGGCTAACAGAGTATTGCTGGAAGCCAGGGGTAGTCTGAAGATGAGATCTTGACTCTGGGCAAAATGCCCATTGACATCAGTAAAGGCAGGATCTTGTTGAGAGTGTGTGGTCCAGAAGCTGAAAGCGGGAAGCTGTCTCAACATATCTCTGGTTTCCTGTTGCCTTTGATACATGTATTATTTTTCAGTTTACTCCCTTCAGAGCTCAGTAAAAAGCAGCTTTCTATCCTGTGAAACTTTTCAAAACACACAAAGGGTTAGAAAGTAACTGAGTGAAACAAAGCCTTACAACACAGACATAAATCCAAGAATTTAAAAAAAAATCTTGGTGTAAGTCAAGTATGAAAAGTGTTCAGGAGTGATCCAGAAAGTCTGACTTACTGTCCAGCAGATATAGCAGCTATAGTAGGCAGCAGAATTAATAAACAAATGGGTAATTAGAGTCATTAGGAGCACCAGCATTACTGCTTTAGAGAAAAAAATGTCACAGAGGAGTCAGTGAGCATGTGCATAGTATAGTCAGTGTGGTGCACTTGTATTTTCAAAAGTTTTTGATAGGATTATCAAAGGTTTTGAAAGAAGCAAAGATGTCTTGTGGTTAGAGGGAAAGACTTTTTATGGATTCATAAAAAGAAAGAAAAAAATATATGGTTGGTTTATCGGTTGGTGGAGAGAGGTTTCCTGTGAAGTCCCTCAAGGATCTTTGTTGGAATCTGTGCTATTCAACCGCTTCTAGAATAACCCAGAAAGAGACTGAGTGTGCTGATAATAGAAAATTATTCAAGGTAGGGAAAACTAAAAGCTGACTATGGGGTCTTACAGAGGACTCCTAAGTTGCTTTGTATTGGGTGAAAAAACAATTAGTTGAATTTCTGTCACTAAATGCTAACGTCCACAAAACAACACACATTTTCTAAATATGTATACTGATGAGTTCCAAATTAACTATTGTTTTCAGTAAACATCTTGGTACTGCAGAAACATCACAAAGCTGTCAGCTCAGTAAGCAATCATGAAAGCAAATAAAAAGTTGGAATTTTACAAGAAGCCACCACTCTATCTGCCTACATATATAGCTGCCTGCAGTTATGGCTACATTTCAAAAAGGACTTAGAGGAAGATGAAAAGGTGTAGAGAAAAGCAGTAAAAAGGATCAAACACATCAGAATTACTTCATTAAAATGAGAGACTATATAAACTGGTTTTTATGTCTGATTAGTAACTACTGCTAGAGTAGTATAAAGTAAAGAACGGTAGGGGGAAGGTGGGGAAGGAACAATTATTTGCAAATTTTGAAAATTCTTATAATTCAAAAACAAGTTCAAAAAACAGTGTCACCATATCTAAAATAGAAATACTCTTTTTTTTTTTCAATTTTAATAAATGTGTAAGGATGTTTTAAAACTGTGAGCCTACAGGATCTTGCAAAGGCAAAAGATAGAAGTGAACACAAAAGAAAATTGAACATAATCACAAAGGCTGGGTTCAGTGTTTGCTGTTACACATAGTGGACCAGATGCAACCTCCAATTCAAGAAAAGACCTAAACCACAGACTGCCAAAAGCTGGGGCAGTGTATGAGGGGCAGACCTCCAAGTTTTTTCTTCTTCTCCCCTAGACATTCTTTATCTGTGTCTGACACTTGGACACCCATCTGACACAGCGCTGTCTCTTCTTGTGTTCTGTATGCTTCAGCAAGACCCCTGTCCTTCCTGTAGATGGACTCAGTGATGTTTGGAAACTTAGTCTTGGATTTAGGGAGCCCAGCTTCGAAGTCTATGTTCTGCCTGCCTCGGCAAAGGATGCCAATCCAGAATGTTTGTGGCCTGAGAAATTTCCTTCCAGGGTGCATATTGACATCAATTGCCATGAAAAAGGGTGGGAGAGGAGTTGAGAAGAGGTGTATAATTGCTTTTTCCGTATGTTTGTGTCAAGAAGCAAATTCAATGAGCAGATTTATAGTCTGTCATCTGCAATACAGAAAATAACTTTGTTTTTCTCTACCTTCCTTTTTTTAAATTCACTTTTGCCCCTGTTCTTTCAAATACACACCTTTGATTTTCTTTAAGTAGTCTCAATCATGCAGAATGTTTGATTTATATGTATTTTATATTATTATTTTGCACCTTGTCATATTCTTTGCTGTTTTTACACCGGTATGGAATATGCTTCTGTTGCTGAAAAGGCTGCTCTGTCATTTCTTCCTTTCACTTTCCATTTTTCTCTTTCTTTGCTTCTGTAGATGACAAAGTCCACAGTGGAAGGATCCAACCAAACATGCATAGTGCCACAACCAGGCCTGTCAGATGGCCTACCTCAGGTCAGCCTCCGATTAACAGAGAGTGGTTCCTGTTGGAAGGAGATGAGTTTAGCAGACGAAATCTTCATTAACAGTGATGCATTTTTCTCCAGGTTAGTGCTCCTTGTTTTGTCTTTGTGTTTCTTCATTTGTTCTGTACCTACATCTCCAGCTCTGAGCATTTTGAACACTTTTCATTCCGTTGTTGCTTACAAAGTCAGTATGCTGGGGTATAAGGCAAAATAATGTGTATATCCCTGTTGAAGTCACAAATTCCAACAGGTCCTTTACAAAGTCAGCTGTGTGTTGAAGTTTGCCTTTCCAATATAAATTTTCAAGAATGTGAAGGTGGTCTGCTTGGTGAAGGATCTAAGATCAGGAATTACACTGAGCATGTGCAAGCAATCAAAATCAGCATATTTGATCTTCCCAGGTTGTCTTAACAGATGGCTGACTTTATTGCCATTCTTAACCCAAAAAGGAAGGGGGTTCTGAGGTGTTTTATCTTTCTGGCAGGAACATTGATAGTGCTAGTGTTGTTCAGATAAGACAGAGAATAAGAGAGTAGTTATAGAGTATCTATAAGAGTATCTGAGTTTATCTGTAAAAGTCTATCTATCTCGATCATCTATAAGAGTATGTCTCTGAAAGAGTATCTTGAGTTTTGTTGGCACTTTATCAATGAGTGAACAGGTAGTGAGCAATTGGACTTTTCCTAAGGTCCTTCCCTGAACATCAGACCAAACCACTATCTTTCTGTTGTCCTCAGGATATTGAATTGTGTCTGTCATTGCCTTTCTTCTTGTGTCTAGTGCAGGACATGAAGGGTTCAGGTTACTGTGGGAAATTGCTGAGTGCTTCTGAAATATGGGGTTGGCCTAATGTGGGAAATGGTGCTGCTTGCACGTCATGAAACAGGACACTGCAGTGTCTCTGCATACCAGTGCAGAATACAAAGCAGAGGCAGTGCTGCCAGACACGTAACTGAGTGACTTCACTGTGTAAGCAGGAGATGGGTGATATTCTCAGCACTAGCACAGACAGACAGTTAGACAGTGCTCAGCTTACAAGTTAGTAAATTATGCACTGACACCAGATTTTTGTTCATAATATCAATAGGATGAGGTAGGAAATTACGCATTAACACCAGATTTTTAATCAGAATGATGGTGGTGAATCTGAGATATCAAATCTGATTTCTAGCCCTTGCAGACACACATGCTCTTTAACTCGTAGCTGTGTCAGCTGTGTTTTACTGTCCCCATGCCTGCCCTCAAAACTCCTGCATCCAGAAGACATCAGGTTAATTTGCATGTCTGCACTAATCCAGCTCCTTTTGACTGAGATGAGTTAAGAAACGATTACCAAAGCAGGTCAGCTGGCAAAACTGAGAAGGCCGTAGAGTTCTACCAGCTGGAAAGGGCCAAGCAGGTGGAGCTGTGTCAAAAGTTATGACCTCTTGAATGGGTATGCTGGAGCTTGGCAGAGAGTGTGCCCCTGCCCATACTCTACTATGCATTGCAAGGTATAATGAGAAATCAAGTGCTTGAGAGTTGAAACAAAGGACTGCTGAGTCTCGTGTCTGGGAAGGTATGTATGACAGACATACGTCAGAAGGTGCCCCAGAAAACTCTGATTCTTTTAGAAGAACAGAAGACAATTCTTTGCTTTGGAGATTCATACTTTTCCATCAATGTGTAATTCCTTAGAACAGTATGAAGTATGGGACAGTTGGGCCAATAGTGGCGCAGGACATTAAGCACCAAATGAGATGTGTTTGTAATTAAACAGAAGCCTAATCTCCATGCTCAAGTCTTGACATGAAAGTTGTTTGCATCTCTAATTTTATCTGGGAAATTAATAAGCTGTAGAAATTAATTCTCTTGTAATCCCATTTTGTTCAAGAATGCCTTGGTTTTCTGTTCTGTATCACACTTCTGTACATATTTTTCTAATTGGGTTGAGTATCTGCACTGCTGTTAGCTCCTAGTACTTTTCTGTCAGTGATCTGCTGCTGCAGAAGGAGGAGTGGGTAGTGTTTGCTATTTTCTGCCCAACTCCAGCATGGCAGGTTGTCGGGCAGGATGGGATAGAGAGGAGGCTGTGGACCACCCCCAAGAGGAAGAAAGGAGAGGTCACTAGCAGACCTAACATACTTGGGGGACAGCTGTCTGTGCAACAGTCAGAATTCCCAATTCCCTGGCATTAGCGGAGTTCTCTGAGATATCAAGAGAGCTTTTAACCATAGTTTTGGCAGCCTTGTGTCAATCCTGTGTAATCTAAGCTCACAGTGAGGTATTACCTGGTACAATCTTAGTGCAAGGCTACATTAGTTTTTACCTTTTTCAGCATGACTCTGGCATCTGACCTAGACACAAAGGTGTTTTGCAAACACACTGCTATTCTCATTGGGGGGGTTTTATATCACAAGGTAGTAACAGTTCTTAAGTAAATGTTATAATTAATTGTACTTAATTATCAGATGCATTTTAGTGAAATGACTGTATCTGCTCAGCTATTGTATGATCTTTGTTAGAAAAGAATAAAGGTTGTTCTTGGCAATGATAATTTGCTGATATGGTGGATTAGAAGAGGGTGAAGGGCTACACAGAGTGGTAGATGCAGAACTCCACCTTTAGCAGGCTCTCAAGCGTAATAGCGAAGAAATAACCACACACACTAAGGCTGTAAGCCCCCCCACCCCAGCAAGGACTGTAACCTTTAATACATTTTTAGTTTGATTTGATGCCAGAGCAGAGGTCTTCAGGGAGAAAATGAGAGTCTCTCGGTTGATTAGTAATTTTTTATACTATTTAAAATACCTCTCATTATGTGTCTTCATATAGTTGAACTTAAAATGAATGCTACTGTATTAAGTAGCAGCTACAGTTGTGACTCTGTCTTCTAGAACAGCTTACCAGCTTTTTTAATATGGAAAGACACATGGTGCCTTCTTATAGGTATGATATTCCTTGTCACAGGAATTTTTGAAGGTGCTGCTGTCATTTGAAATATGCCAAATACTAGTTGAAGTCAAAACATATTGCAAAACATGAAATCCATATCACCTTCTGTTCACAACTGTTAGCTTAAGAAAATGGTATTTGTAAAGTTGATACGTTCTTTTTCCTGACCCAAATAGGTGGATTAGCTACGTGTACCCACAATCCCCACCAGCACATAATGTATGTGTTCTCTTGAAAATTGCCTCATTGTTATAGCTGTGTGCCAAGGGCAAAAAGCTAATTATGCAGTATCATAAAAGCATGCCTATAATGCAGCCTTTGAGTAAATCCCAACACAGTGGAGAAAGAAAGGAAGGAAGGGACAGGAGAGAATAGACTGGTCCTCTGAAAGAAGGATGAAGGCCTGCAGACAGTGTGCAGCCAGTTACATGGGCTTTATCTCATTTTTGGAAGAGAGCCTGTGCAAAGCTTTAGAGCAAGGAAGACAAACTTCCAGATCCTGGGAACCACACACATACTTTTATCTTTACCTGGTTGACAGCCACAACATTCACCCTGCAGACCTCAGGAGCAAGGGGAGGCAGCAACCTTGGGGCTAAGATATAGGCAGGAGGGAATGGGGCTCCCTGGGCTTTACCAGACCCTCAGTAAGAGGATGCTAAGGTGGGCTTGCAGCTCTGTGAGGCTCAGAGTTCTTTTTTGGGTCTGTCTTTCTTTCTGCTCTGTAGAATGAAAAAGTCTGCTCAAAGCTCTGGTTCAGAAGGGACATATATAACTGCAGAAGCAACTGGAGTGATTTTGGGTGTGCCTATATGTGCTAAAATTTAAACGCTGCGAATAGCAGATTCATGTGGATTTACTTCCCTTTACTTCAGGGGAAGGATATATTAGGATTTAAGTTGATACAAAAGTTGGAGGGCCTCTTGCAACCAATGCTCTTAGCCTTTCATTCTGAACTTCATATATAGGTGCTGAGAAAAGGGATAGCCTTCAGGCAGGAAGGAAAATACTTCCTGCAGCCAAAATGTGAGACAAGGGATTGTTGATGGCAAATAGAAATGTCTTTCCTGACATTTGGCTGGCTCAGAGGTGTGTGCTGCTTGCAGACTTTTGTTATCACCGTCCTGGTTCTTTTGTCCAGGAAAGGGCACCAAAATAGGCTTTGCTGTTGTAAATGGGTATTCGAGCACATGCTGGTACTGTTTTGAAGGAGGCTCCTTCTGTAGAATAGCACCCTGTTGGCTGCAGTGCTGTTAGGCTCTGTGTGTGTTCCCTAGGTGGAAATCCAGATCAAAGGAGTGCAACTGGGCACTCTTCCTTGCTGGTACTTGGTCAGGTGGTGGGGAATAGGTGCGTGTATGGCAGCCAGACTTTGTGAAAAACATTGTGCAGTTCCCAAGACCCAAAGCTTTGAACAATCACGTCAGTCAGTAAGCAAGCTGCCTTCTCCAGTACTTTCTAGCCATCTTTTTGTGTGCTAAAGATCAGAAATGCCTGTTTGTGGCTGCAGCCACAGCTGCAATGAGATTTGCCAGCACGCATACCCCGTGCTGGCTTTCTAACATGTGCATGTTCTCAAGGAGAAGGTTTGTTTATATCAACCTTCTGTTCACAAAGGTTCTTGTATCTGGCCTATGTCCTGCAAATAAAGGGATCACATGCTGTGGTAGCCTCCCTAAAACAAGGGGTGGGTTAATGTATCATGCTGCACCCTCTTCTTAATGATACTGCGTGTTCTTGCTGTTAATTGTGGAGGTATGAAAACACATTTATTTGTACGCTGAGGAGATTATGCTTACTATAAACTCTTACCCTATTTTCCTTTTAGCAGCTGCAGTTTAAAACCAAAGCAAGACAAAACTTACCATTATTCTCTGGCATGTGATAAGAACTTGGGTGCCTGTTGTTGCCAGAACAAATCAAGCAGGGGGGCTGGTGTTGTTTGCTTAGCTGACTATTTTTGTTTAGGTTTGGGGTTTTTTTTGTTTTTGAAGTCTGTCATGGCAGTACATTCAGTCCCTATCCAAAGTAATAATTTGCCTTATCACTTAGGAACCTTGCTGCCAGGTTTACATAAGGGATTTCAGCCAGGCAGGAGGCAGGGCTGCCCTCTGACAGTCATGGATTCTTCGAGAAAACTGCTCAGA